ACTACTAATACTACCACTACTAGTACTACTACTACCACCACCGCGATAGTTGCAGCATCTGCCGAAGAGGGAGAACTCGCATGCCCATGAATCTTTACTGGTATTGCTGCTATGAATGTAGCGTATCGTCCGGGTATCGTTCTGTCCAACTTGGGGGACTTCGTCTAAATTTCCAAAAATGTCGAACGAAGCAAGGAGCTAAGGCCAAGGCTATACTGGCAAGGTTGCTGTTTTCAGGGTATCGTCTTTAGGGCACCTTTCGTTTTATTTACAGGTCACCTCTCTAGCATTTGCCATCTACGACAACCAACACCTATGCGGATAGTTTCGACCCCATCTAAAATACGACTATCACCATCGCATCTGCAACTATAAGTGCTTGTTGTGTCGATCCGACTTCTCCGTTTTGCTGTGCATTACCACAACCTGAGAGAAGCCCTTAGCCCTGAACTAAAAAGTGTGTAATGTCTGCTTGCAGAGCCACACCGTCTTGCTGGTCCCCGCTAAGACCATCCTGTCTGCCACTGCCTGGGAAGTCGCGGAAGGTTCAAAACCCAACACCTGAGGTCTTGGCTTTGGAACTATGAAGACCGCTACGCGTCGAGGGCGCGATGGATACTTCAGGACTTTAAGGCATGGGCCATTGGGTGTTCACTCGGGCGGAGAAGGGTCGGGGAAGGGATGTAGTAGTTAACACTCGCCGATCTCGCCGAACGGCGTCAAGGTCAGGATGGTCTTGTCGAGATAAGGACTGCCCTTGGCCGCGCCTCAGCTGACCCTGGCTGCAGTAGCAAGGCTGCCATACCCCCTGCACCGAGTGGCGCAGAGCCTGCGTCAGGAATAGCATGAATGAGGCCGTGTCGGGCTGGCATGGAGGAAAAACAGGTTCAGATCTGCCATCAATGTAACGTAGCACGCAGAAGCAGAATGCCAACTGCTGCTCGAACAGGGCCGAACCTCCTGGAACGAAGCTTGGCAGGCTTGGAAAAAGGTAGATCAGCAGACCTCAAGCTGACAACAAATGAGGCATCACCTGGTTGGCTCACCCTGTCAGCTTGAGCAGGCCAAATGTGATGTACAAACGCTCAAGTCGTGCTTGAACGTGCCTGGCCTACAAACGAAAATAGGGGCAGCAGCAATCGGCGTGGACGCCCACGCAGCATGGCTCTCTAAAGCTTGGGTCCCTTCTAAGGAACTGTTGCTGTCGAGCGGGCAGGAAACATGTTGCTGCAGGCTGCAGCAGCTAAGGTGTCTGGGTTTCAATTTCGCAATTCAGGGGGCTGCACGACAGGTTTCAGATGATCGCCAGTACAAAGAGGCATGCCTCAGCGCGCGTTGGATCCGACTCTCAGAATGGGCAACAAGAAAGTTGAAAACACTTCATGCTAGCTCAAAGAAATAGACATGACACAATACGTTATGATGCCATGTTCTTCAGCTTCGCCATGTTCTTCGGCTTGGCTATATCAGCTGGAAAGAAGCCGGCCGCGCAAAATGCCAAGTCGCGCTCCTGGAGTTCCCAAGTGATGGATGCATTCCACCCATCATCTCACTCCACCGAAGATCACTGAGCCCGGACCAGTAAAAGTGCTTCAACGGAAGGGAGGCCACTGTTGGGAGGCCTCCGCATCGGGGAGCTCCCCCCGCGCGGCGAGGACGGTCATGGCACGGGCAAAGGTGTGCGCCTGGAACCCGCGGGTTGGGGTAAGTCCCGTGAATTTGCACTGGTCTACATTGCAACAACTACTTACGACTGCTATGCTATGCGTTGGCTCCGAACGCGCTTAGGCACCGGCACGAGCATACTGGCGGGAACGGTATCCTGCACCACTACATATGGGGGTTTCAGAAAATAGGGGACCCTAATATAGTACCCCAAATAGTAGGATCCTTTGATAGGGACCCCAAAAAGGTACCCCTTATTTTCGGAAACTCCCACATGTTGTCGCGGACCCCTGCAGATCCGAAGACCGCCCGAAACGGTGGCCTTTCTGAGTGAAGTTGCAGTGTCGAACCTGCAACCGCAACGGCCCACAAGTTTTGTGGGGGCTACAGCATGGGCAGAAGCAGAATTGAGGAAAGCATGCTGCCTGAACCCCCACAGCCATGGATGGTGCTAAATGTCGCAGTTTGCAAGGCTCGGCTCTGGTAGCTCCTTTTTGCATGCTGTGCACGTGACACGGTTAACGGTCAACTTTGATCCCTGCTGAACTGTCCCAGAGGTCACTCAGACTTCTTTGCAAAGTCGTTGGGCTTCATGGGTTCTTGAGGACTGGGACCGTTCAGAGAACCTGCACCGTCTCAGGCACGACTTGCGGCCCGTTGCGGCGTCCTCCACGACCTACGGAATCTACGGAAATTGCGGACCTACGACAAGTCGACCGTATGCTTCAAAGCACCATAGCCCAGGATCTCTCCTGCACGGTTTTGGTGCCTGTGAGCATCAGCAAAGATGCTGTGTTTCAGAGGATTCAGAGCTTCGGTGCTGCTACGAAGAAGCAGCTGGCTGTCGATGCGTCCTCTTTGATCCTAGGCAGCTGTCACGTTGCGCGATCAAACTGCCACGCGGACCCTCCTGCGTGCCAAGTCCCCGGCGTGTTCTCCAGTCGTCCGACACCCTCCACTTCCACCGCGACCCGATCGCCAGGCCTCACTACGAACGCAGCATGAGATGGCACGGCCCTCTAACCACGTGACACGTGGCACATGTCGAGTCCGGGTGTGACGCTTCAGCCACGGCTGTGGGCTTCGACCTTCGGCCACACCTCGGTGGGCTTCGCCCTCATCGACAGCGACAGCGAGTTGCAAAAGAAGCGCTCTAAATCGTTCTAAGTCCCGGGCCGAATGGTGTGCCTGCAAGTGAAAGTGGACAAACACTTGGTCGCGCTGTGCGCTCGACGCTCTCTGAATGCTCCGCCCAAGCCTGTGAGGATGACCGTACCAGGCAAGAGCCTGCAGATGTGCCAGTTTGCTGGCATGGTAGAAGACCGCGATCCCAAAGCGAAGACCCGAAGCCTTGTCCCTATTGACAGGAAGCTGATGATCTGCGGCACGGAAAAGATCAGGTCCCTCGTAGAGGAATCCTCCAAGAGCCCAGTGCAACGGGCAATTGGCAACAGGTCACCTGGGGGCAAAATCGCCCGAAGGCCTGCATCTGCACGCCATTCACGAAGGTCTGAACCTCTGCCGGCCGTGCCGTGTAAAGCTTTACTGGGTTGTAGTTTTGGGGCCCTGAAAAGTATTTATGAATAGGTACCTCTATAGAGACCATAAGGGAAATTTTAAAGTTTCCCTAAGTGCCACCTAGCTTAACTCCCCTAAACCCCTAAACCCTAAACCCTAAACCCCTAAACCCTAAACCCTAAACCCCTAAACCCCTAAACCCTAAACCCTAAACCCTAAACCCGAAAGCCCACAAGACGAGCGGCCCGGAGGGCGCCAGGGTCCGGAATCTCGTCCTTGGTGACGAGGACGGGCCCCAGAGGGGCGAACCTCAGCTCCGAAGAGGCTATTCGATGCCCCAATGGGCCCTCTGTAGGCCCAAGAATAGGCTCTACCCCAAACTGACCTCCAACTCGACTGCCTCGGCGTCCTAGACTGAATGCAAGTGATGCAAAGAAGCGACTTTTATCCGTTGTTCAGCCGATACCGGGCACGACATGCACATACCGAGATTCGCTCTTGTGCAGTGAGTCTTCTTGCACGCCCCTTGGGGCACAGTCAGTACTATACACTACGATGGTAGCTACAACATTGCCTCGGGATGCCTTTTGTCTGGTCTCACACTGCCACCGCAGGTGCTGCCAGCTTGTTGATGCTGCGAAGTTCCACATCGAAAATCAGGTCGGCCCCGGGAGGAATAGGGCCTTTACCTGCAGCCCCGTAGCCAAGGGCAGCCGGCACCTGCAGAGCAGCACGCTCGCCGAGGCTCATGTGGGGCAAGGCCATCTCCCAGCCCCGGATGACCTCTGAAGCGCCGAGCTCGAAGCCGAACTCGCCATGGTCGAAAAGCGTGCCATCCGTCAGATATCCTGCGTACCGCACGGAGAGAAGATCCTTCTGCTGCGGGAAGTGCTTTCCGTCTCCTTGCCGCACCTGCTTCAGTCTCAACCCGTTCTCCAGCACCAAGGCGGCGGGTGCTTTTGCAGGCGGTGCCATGGACGCCTTGCGGGGAGTCCCGTCAGAGTCGGCCGAATTCAGGATAGTTTGCATCCAACTTTCGTCCGGAATCTCTCCGTGCTGCACTTGGTCCAAAAGCTCAGGACTGAAAATTTTCTTCAAAGCACTTGGGCTGCTGATGATTTTGGACATCGCCGGGTCCATCGCCGCCAGCTGTTGCACCAGGGGGTCTTGGTGCACGGCCTTCATGAGCATCCCGGTGTCATTGCTCAACTTCTGAATCTGCTGCTTCACGGTTTGGTTCCCCAGCTCGGTCCTCAACTGTGGATCGATGTAAGCCGCGGAGAGCTCGCCACTCACGCCACTCATGTCCATGATGTTCATCAACTCATCCGCTGGCATGCGGTTTCCACGACCCAAAGCCTGAAACACCGTCGTCCAGGGTCCCATGCCCTGTGGCACAGCTCCACCATGTAACAACTCATCCAAGTTGAAGCTCTGCACCTCCGGCTTCAGAACCTCAGCACGGCATCCCACACCATCCCACACCCAATGAATTTCACAAAACTTGAACAAACTTCACGCAAGCCCGGCTTTAGCCCAAGCAGCTTCTGTGTGTTCCTTGCCCACACCGATTCCCTTGCCCACCACGATTCCATGCTGGAGGGAGCAAGCCATCAGGGGCAGAAGCAGGAGCCCGAACCAGATCATTGAAACAGGCGGAATTGGCGAATGCTGCTAAACGAGCAAGGGGCCAAGGGTTGCGGTTGCTCGGTGAGCCTTTGGCAGCCAGAGTGCAGCGGCGGGGGCACAACAAAAGTCTTGCACGGCAAGTCTTGAATGTGCAACAAGCAAGCATTGTGCGATCTGCATCCTAGACTACTCATGTACTACGGATCCCCCCCCGAGGCGGCCGCCCGTCGAAGCTCTTGGATCGGCACCACTGGCCTGCTGAGCCAGAGGCTTCGGAGGGCTCAGAGTCTTCGGAGGTCCGAAAACAGACTCGCGGGTGCGACACCTTCGGCTTGCAGCGCACCTACACATCACCTTCATGGCTAGCGTCTTTTGTTGGCATCTTGGGCCCACGCTGCCAGCAATTTCTGGCAGTTTCTGCCAATCTCTGGTGGACAGGTCGTTCGCACACGTGTACCTTGGAGGACGCGAGATGAAGCGTGGCTGCCGCACATGCGACAGCAGGAGGCTGGAAGGCGACATGCAAGATTGTGCGAGCGTAAACAACACCGGAAGATTCATTTGGCCAGCTTGCCCCAAGACATAGTCCAGCGCATGCTCGGGAGGCACATCCTGTGAGACTCGAGACGCTTAAGAACAGTCAACGGCGTACGGCCACTCCTGCAGTACCTTGTAGCCTGCTGCACAGTAGCATGAAGTTGGAGATATACTGCAACATCTGCAACCGGTTCGAACACTCGCAACGTACGGGCGATCCAGCAACACAGAATCTCAGGTTTATGTGATTCCAAGGGGGCGTCTAGAACCTGAACATGAAACCCAACCCATCCTGTGAAAACGTGGCGCCTTCCGAAGATGTCCTGAACTTATATCCACACCCATGTCATGTGATGTAACATGATGGCAGCAGCCCCTGCCCTGCCACCAAACCGTACCATTGGTGGGGTGATGAGGGTAGTAGGGCATTAGGGTAGGTATTAGGCTTGGAGCAGGGTTTTACGGACCATTTCCAATGGCTAGAGTGGTGTCATGAAGGGTCTTTGGTCCAGATGTTTATTGTAATGGTTTGTAGCACCAGGGTGTTTCGTCACAAGAAAAACACAATCATGGAGGAACTGCAACTACAACAGAAGAAGCGACAACAGCAGCAGCAACAACAACAACAACGACCACAACGAAGAGTACTAGTCAGAGTTGCTGGTGTGTGCTGCACTGGTACACAACATGACCGTTTATGGCTGTGTAGCCAAGCCACTGAAGACTCTGGTGAGACCAACACATCATGAAGCATCCATGATGGCAGTTCTCTTGCATAACGGTCCTTACACTCCTTGCCGATGACAACGGCAAGCTCCACCTGGCATCCACAATTTATCTGAGAGAAAGCCCCGCGATCTTCATGGTGTCTGAAGTAACAGTAGATGTCGTGTGCAGCTGGCAGACACCCTGCTGCACATCCATGACTGGACACAGGTCCGGCCAATATTCGTCCTGTGAAGATGATACTGTGAAGTGAAACATAACCATCGACCGTGACACATTGAAAGATCAACTCTAAGACGCAGATTTCCATCCGCAGCCATGTAATTTTCGTTTGACTGCGTAGGGATGGAGGGTAACTCGATTCGCCGGTGTCATATGTCTTGAACCCTGCCTTTTGATAGCATTTGATAACTGGTTTCTGCAGCTTGGAGCAACAGTCCACCTAAGCCTGTCCTTAGTTGCTGAGTTCATCAGCCCATAAAACGTGTAAATTTTCAGTTCTCGGGGATAAACTTCTGCCAAAACGTGCAAAATGTATTCATTCAGCTATTAAGTTGGATCGCTTCACTTTGCCATGGACAATGCTCAGCTCGTCCATGTCAAAATGGGCAAAGAAGTATCCTGCAATTGAGTTGGTGCTGCTAGACATTGCAGCCAATGTGAACTGAGAGGCTATTTCGCCGCTGACCAAGTTTTCAATGGCTCTCAATCGGCCCTTGCCTAAGTCCAGTGGGACACCCACCCAGCTTTAGTTCGTCGTACCAGGAACATCCTGTGTGCAGGTGGGAGTGGTCGCCCGTGAACTCTCGCTCAGATCGCCGGAGGCATTTGGCACGGTTCTGCACAGAGGCACAGATAAAGCAGTCGTCATTCTCCTCCAGACTATTCTCGGCGCCGGAATATGCTCGGTTTGCTTTTGAATGACAGGCTCCTCCCCGTCCTTTTGCTCCTCATATGGTTCATCACACATGAAACAGAGCTGATGCTGCTTGTTCCGGTTAAAAAAACGCGAAAAGCTTAGCCGCCTTAGCAACGGCGCAGTCCAATTTCCGTATCTAGGCATCGAGCACGTTAAACATGACGCATGAAACATAGCTGACACAGTTTTTCTCCAATTAGAAAACGCGACAACCTCAGAAACGTGCACGAGCAACAACTAGAGCTCCTCCTCCGCCTCCTCCTCGTCGTCTTGGCCCCACTCCCACTTGCTCAACAAAGCAGTTGCCGACACACCCGGGAGTCGGATAACATGGCACGTGGGGAGAGGCACTCCGCTGAAACCACAGCAAGAAGATGCGCCCCGCTCGATAAGCATGCGAGTGATGATGTCATCTGGAAAATTCGCCTCGAACCTCTCGACACTGCATAGAACAAAGGGGCCTGTTGGGTCTTGTCTAACTACCTCTGACAAGACCACTCCCATCTTGATGCAGATCTTTGCCAAGTTCTCGGACCCTTGACGAGTTCGGGCTGCTGCAAAGAAAAAGAAATTCTGGTCCAAACTGGAGCGCTGCCTGTCTACGTTGGCACCCTCTAAGGCCTTCTTCACCTCTGAGCACTCGCCATCTCTGACTTTGAGAAGCAATCGATCCGGATTCACGGGTTTCATATCCACCGTGAACCCGTCTTGAGCCCGAGCTTCGATTGGACTTTGGGCGAAAGGATCGCTAGCCAGCCAGCTTTTTGAGTTATCCATTTGTGTAAACATCAAAATGGATCATATACATATACACATTCTACATAGTATGTATCTAAGTATAACCTAATTACGCTCAAATGATCTCAAATGTGTATGTGTGTGGTGTGTTGCCTGTTGACTCTTGCGCACGACAAGATACAATGGAGATCCGATGCCAGCTGACTTTCGAGTTATGAGAAGTCCGCTGCAGGCCTCGTAGTCCATCTTCTCCGTGAGCCGCGGCTTCACCTGGCACAAGGCTGATGCAAAACTCAGAGGCTTCTTCATGCCTGTGTCGATGGACGCTAAGGCCCAAAGCCCATAAGGCCTGAGAGCAGCCCTAGGAAATTCAATGAGCCACTGGGCCGCCGGCGATGGCATCACCGTGGCCAGCTGCACAGGTCGTGGGCTTCATGAAAACCTTGTCTCATGACGTCTCCAAAGGGTCCCAAGTCCCGACACAGGAGCTGCTTGATGCATGTCCGCGTCTCGGCATCCTGCCACCGGGTTCTTCGGGTACGGCAGCTTCAGCTCGTCGGCATGTGCACGGTAGTTGAGGCCTCTGCTTGGGCGTTTCAGAAATGTGAAACTTCCCTATCATGGGATATACTGTTCTTATACGTATATATATATATATATAATAGACATGCAATACTGAAAAAACAAGCACACGCAGCGCAGAATTCGAAAGACGCGGCACTCCGAGGCATGTGCCGATACAAATGATGTCCTGGCTTTCAGATCGAGCTCTGAGTTCACTCCGATTTGCAACGCATCCTCTCACCAAGCTGAATCTTTCCCATGCTAGCTACATTGCGTTCCTTGGTATGCTAGAAAACTTCACGCACACACACACACACACACCAAACAATATCTCTGCCTATCCCAAGAACAGTACGATAACAGTCTGCTACAGAGGAGGGCGGCCCGCAGAGGTTTGGCGCTCTCGCGACAGCCGCGCACGGCGGTTCCGCGGCCCGTGAAGTGGTGCAGTAGACACAGTCGACTGAAATTTGGCTTGGTGCTGGCCGCGTCAGCTGGGCATGCCGAATCTAGTGAAAAAGGAAGGCGAGCTCTGATGCCTGTGGGTCTTCGGGCCTTAGAGATCAAATTAGGGCCCTTTTGGGGTTTGGGTTTGGAGTTTAGGGCAGTTTAGGGCTTAGTGCTTTTCAGTTTTGGGTTTAGGCCTCCTGACGAACTTAAGCCCTGAAAGCTCCTGCGGCTTCACCGGCGGCAGGAATCGGCCGACGGACACCTGGGAGCCCAATTTGGGACCACAGCCAGATACAGTAATATGGCAAGCGGCAAACATGTCTTGCTCATTTTGCACGGGTCAACCCCTCAACCCGGGTTTGGAAGGATTTCAGCCGGCTGAAATCCTGTGA